TTGAAAGATTTCTTTTTCTTTTCTTTTTTTACAATCTGAACCCCAGAACCTGCTGCTTATTTTTCATTTTTAAAACAGTCGCCAAAATGATGCAATTTATCAGAGCCATAAAGACACAACACTGAAACGGTCCTTGACGTCATCACGTATGAAGCGTGGTTTCTTTGGGAAAATTAACAAAATAATGATGTATGGCATTTTGATTTTGTTTTATGTACAAAAGACACGTTTAGATTCCCTCTACTTCTATTCATAGTTGTGCTGTTTCCACAAAAGTGCAGGACTTTATACAATAGTGAAAAACGAGCCAGTAGTGAGTTAAAAATAAATTTAAATAAAAATCAGATCAGATGATTAACAAGTTTGCGCTCTTACGCTGTTCTGGAGTATTTGTAGGCAGCGTCCACCTCGGCTTTGGCAAACGTCACCTTCTTTTCGATGAAACTCCTGCTTAGGGCTGAAAGGAAGAAAAGAAAAAAACGTGTTTAATTTACTTTTTGGTTCATTCTTCACATTAATTGTTTTGATCAGTGATTTATAAAATAAAATCAAACATGTCACACAGTTACAGAATTTTACAATTAACGTTTTTTTTTTTCCACATAATTGATGAACAACACTCAGACACTTCTGATAAATTTAACAGATGAAAGAGAGGATAAATGTTAGAATTTTTTTAAATCAGCTAAACAATGAATGGATTTAAAGCTATTTGTTGTAAGAAAGAAGTTGGACTCACTTGCATCCGTCTGGCAAAACAAGCACAGAGCTACAGCCAACAGGCACAGAACCCGAATCATCTCTGCAAGAAATTAAAACGGAAATTCCAAAAAGAAAAAAATCTTCTCCAGTCACATATATACTTGTAAAAAATCGAATGCAAAACGGATCCAATCCAGTATAACCACTGGCTAAAATGTGGAAGAGCTGAGGAAAGCAACCTGGTGAGAAGGTGAAGCTCCTTTCCTCCACTGAGCTGCCTTTGCACTTGAACTTCTTTTAAAGGCACGAGGCGCTGTTGTTTTTTTTTTTTGGCTCAGACAATGAATGAATTTTCTCCTTCCTGGTTCCTCCTGCGTAGAATCCCTGTCGGACAACTTCGGAGCAAACCGCGATCACGGAAACACCGAGCTGTCGCGAGTGTTTTTGGCTTTGGTGTTTGTTTCTCGCTTCTTGACAAATGATGGCGGTTTTGGCACAAGAACAAGCTGTCGGAAATCAATCAACCTTGTGGTCGACAGATGAATAAAAAAAATAAATATAACAACATAATTACTGTTTCATCCATGAGATGGTTTTTAAAATTGTGCGTTTCTCTGCAGTTCTGCGCAAGTTGATCATTGAGTTTGTAAAACGGCACAATATTGGATTAATGGAAGATGTTAATTCTTCCTCTTCGGCTCTGACACCTCGTTGTTGTTTCGATGCTGATGGATGGACTGCACCGTGTCTCTGCTCTTTTTAATAGCTACAGTCTATAAACACATCTTTGGATAATATGAATTAAAACCC